GTATCTCAGTTGTAACTCGGCTAAATCTCAGTTGTATCTCAGCTAAATCTCAGCCAAATGTCAGTTGTATTTTCGTCTAAATCTTAGTTGTATTCTCGGCTGAATCTCAGTTGTATCTCGGCTAAATATCAGTTGTATCTTGGCTAAATCTCAGTTGTATCTCAGCCAAATCTCAGTTGTATTTCAGTTGTACCTCGTCTAAATATCAGCCAAACCTCAGTTGTATCTCATCTAAATCTCAGTTGTATCTCATCTAAATCTCAGTTGTATTTCGGCTAAATCTCAGTTGGATCTCGGCTAAATCTCAGTTGTATCTCAGTTGTAACTCGTCTAAATCTCAGCCAAATCACAGTTGTATCTCATCTAAATCTCAGTTGTATCTCATCTAAATCTCAGTTGTATTTGACTAAATCTCAGTTGTATCTCGGCTAAATCTCAGTTGTATCTCATCTAAATCTCAGTTGTATCTCGGCTAAATCTCAGTTGTATCTCGGCTAAATCTCAGCCAAATCACAGTTGTATCTCAGTTATATCTCAACTAAATCTCAGTTGTATCTCGGCTAAATCTCAATCGTATCTCAGCCATATCTTGGTTCAATCTCGGCCGTATCAGTTGTATATAGTGTGGAATAAGTGTGTCTGATCGCTTCCTCTCAGGATGAGTGTCGTATCCCACCGCTCTCTGAAGGCTCGTATGCATAATGTAAAGCTCTGCAACAGTACAGAAGACAGATGATGAGCCTGGGCTCATACAGCGCAAATCTCCATTAAAACAGCTTATGTAAGACTCGATGTGGAAGGGAACACAAGCTGTCAGCCTGAAGAGATGAGGGAATGATGAACGAGGGGATACAGGTGTGTTTAGATAAGCGAACGAAGCTCGACATCTTCAAATAACAGTCCTCAATCGGAAAGACTCTCAATAATGTGCTTGCATGTGTACAGCCTTTCAGGATAACATGCGACAGTGGCTTATTCTCCTCTTTTACACTTGTGAGCTTTCTCTTCCTTTTGGATTTTTTGATGTCTTAAGCAATTTTCTACTGAATTCAGTGTCAAAAAGATCTGACTAAACTATAAAATACAGTTAACAGGGCATGAAATATTGATTACATGCTCTCCAGCTTTTTCATTGGCATGAAAGGACTGTGATATGAACACAGAGCTGAAATGCTTCTACTGGACGAACATTCGGTTAAACAGAGGAAAGTACAGTAAAAACAGACTCGTATAATGGATAGGAATGTGTACGATCTGTAATGTCTAGAACTGATGTTCTAACATTAACAAAGAATATTAAATGCTGTGAATATATTGCTTATTGTTAGTTTATGTACAGGTGCAACTCGAAAAATTAGAATATCATGCAAAAGTTCATTTATTTCAGTAATTCAACTTAAAAGGTGAAACTAATATATTATATAGACTCATTACATGCAAAGTGAGATATTTCAAGCCTTTATTTGTTATAATTGTGATGATTATGAATTACAGTTTATGAAAACCTTTTCACAATATTCTTATTTGAATCTGGGGTTTTCATAAGCTGTAAGCCATAATCATCTAAATTAAAAATGATTCAATGACTCACTCATAAAGACTTAACTTCAGTTTCATTACAGAATGAATCAGCATTTTGAACAAATATTTTGAATGGATGATTCAATGAGTCACTTAAATACTTCACTTGTTTCATTACTGGATGAATCAGTGTTTTTGAAGTAAATCTTTTGAATGAATGATTCAATGAGATGCGTTTTAAGAGTCACTTGTCACCACCTACTGATTTAATGATAATCGATATAATCGTTATTTGAAGCATTAAGTTATTCTTCAAAGGTGATTCACTCTATTTTGATCACTACCGTAAATATCAGTGTTTAGATGTCAAATATAAACTTTTATCCCTGTACTTCTGTGATAATATGAATATGTTTAAGACATAATTATAATGTGTGGCTGAAAAGACTGAATCTGTTTGCCTATACATGACAACTTGGCAGCGCCAACAGATCTGAATGTTGATTCTGTCAAAGGTTTAATAGACACAGTAATTTATGAATGAGATTGAAGATCGCAATCTTTAAACGATTAATCGTGCTGCTCTATTCTCAAGTTAACGTATTTAGTTGAGAATGTTTAGATATTTGCACTGGAAGCACAAAATAAGACTGAAATATTAGTTTTGCAGTGTTAGTTTTGTTCTCTTTCCTCCTCAACCCTTGTGACGCCACAGATCCTGCTCGATCTCATGAACTCTGTGTGTATGATAGTGTTGTCAAAAGTACCGACTTCGGTACCAAAACGATACTAAAATGTAAGAAATGTGACGCTTTGAGAACTCTTGAGCGGAATCGTGAACACCCCCACACATTAGCCAATCAGAGACATATGCAATGAGCTCATGAACGCACTGGCCAATCAGAGACATATGCAATGAGCTCATGAATGCACTGGCCAATCAGAGACATATGCAATGAGCTCATGAACACATTAGCCAATCAGAGACATATGCAATGAGCTCATGAACACACTGGCCAATCAGAGACATATGCAATGAGCTCTTGATCGCTCTTGATCGCTCTGGCCAATCAGAGACGTATGCAATGAGCTCATGAACACACTGGCCAATCAGAGACATATGCAATGAGATCTTGATCGCACTGGCCAATCAGAGACATATGCAAGGAGGTCATGAACACATTGGCCAATCAGAGACATATGCAAGGAGGTCATGAACACATTGGCCAATCAGAGACATATACAATGAGATCTTGATCGCACTGGCCAATCAGAGACATTTGCAATGAGCTTGTGAACACATTGGCCAATCAGAGACATATGCAATGAGATCTTGATCGCACTGGCCAATCAGAGACATTTGCAATGAGCTTGTGAACACATTGGCCAATCAGAGACATATGCAATGAGATCTTGATCGTACTGGCCAATCAGAGACATTTGCAATGAGATCTTGATCGCACTGGCCAATCAGAGACATTTGCAATGAGCTTGTGAACACATTGGCCAATCAGAGGCATATGCAATGAGATCTTGATCGCACTGGCCAATCAGAGACATTTGCAATGAGCTCATGAACACATTGGCCAATCAGAGACATATGCAAGGAGGTCATGAACACATTGGCCAATCAGAGACATATGCAATGAGATCTTGATCGCACTGGCCAATCAGAGACATATGCAATGAGCTTGTGAACACATTGGCCAATCAGAGATATATGCAGTGAGCTCATGAACACACTGGCCAATCAGAGACATATGCAATGAGATCTTGATCGCACTGGCCAATCAGAGACATGTGCAATGAGCTCATGAACACATTGGCCAATCAGAGACATATGCAAGGAGGTCATGAACACATTGGCCAATCAGAGACATATGCAAGGAGGTCATGAACATTGGCCAATCAGAGACATATGCAATGAGCTCATGAACACACTGGCCAATCAGAGACAAATCCAATGAGCTCATGAACACAATGGCCAATCAGAGACAAATGCAATGAGCTGATAAACACACTGGCCAATCAGAGACAAATGCAATGAGCTGATGAACACACTGGCCAATCGGAGACTTATGAACACACTGGCCAATCAGAGACATATGCAATGAGGTCATGAACACAATGGCCAATCAGAGACATATGCAATGAGCTCATGAACACAATGGCCAATCAGAGACATATGCGATGAGGTCATGATCACACTGGCCAATCAGAGACATATGCAATGAGGTCATGAACACATTGGCCAATCAGAGGCATATGCAATGAGCTCTTAAACACATTGGCCAATTAGAGATATATGCAATGAGGTCATGATCACACTGGCCAATCAGAGACATATGCAATGAGCTGATGAACACATTGGCCAATCAGAGACATATGCAATGAGCTCATGAACACACTGGCCAATCAGAGACATATGCAATGAGCTCATGAACACACTGGCCAATCAGAGACCTATGCAATGAGATCTTGATCGCACTGGCCAATCAGAGACATATGCAATGAGCTTGTGACCACATTGGCCAATCAGAGACATATGCAATGAGCTCATGAACACACTGGCCAATCAGAGACATATGCAATGAGATCTTGATCGCACTGGCCAATCAGAGACATGTGCAATGAGCTCATGAACACATTGGCCAATCAGAGACATATGCAAGGAGGTCATGAACATTGGCCAATCAGAGACATATGCAAGGAGGTCATGAACATATTGGCCAATCAGAGACAAATGCAATGAGCTGATAAACACACTGGCCAATCAGAGACAAATGCAATGAGCTGATGAACACACTGGCCAATCAGAGACTTATGAACACACTGGCCAATCAGAAACAAATCCAATGAGCTCATGAACACAATGGCCAATCAGAGACAAATGCAATGAGCTGATAAACACACTGGCCAATCAGAGACAAATGCAATGAGCTGATGAACACACTGGCCAATCAGAGACTTATGAACACACTGGCCAATCAGAGACATATGCAATGAGGTCATGAACACAATGGCCAATCAGAGACATATGCAATGAGCTCATGAACACAATGGCCAATCAGAGACATATGCGATGAGGTCATGATCACACTGGCCAATCAGAGACATATGCAATGAGGTCATGACCACATTGGCCAATCAGAGGCATATGCAATGAGCTCATAAACACATTGGCCAATTAGAGATATATGCAATGAGGTCATGATCACACTGGCCAATCAGAGACATATGCAATGAGCTGATGAACACATTGGCCAATCAGAGACATATGCAATGAGCTCATGAACACATTGGCCAATTAGAGATATATGCAATGAGCTCATGAACACACTGGCCAATCAGAGACATATGCAATGAGCTGATGAACACATTGGCCAATCAGAGACATATGCAATAAGCTGATGAACACATTGGCCAATCAGAGGTCGGTACTTTTGACAACACTAGTGTATGAGCGAATGTGAGGTAATTTGTGTCTCTCTCTGTCTCTCTCTCAGAAGACCGGAAGCTGTTTGTGGGCATGTTGGGAAAACAGCAGAGCGAAGACGACGTCCGGCGTCTGTTTGAGTCGTTGGGGCAGATAGAGGAGTGCACCGTTCTACGGGGGCCTGATGGGGCCAGTAAGGGTCAGCACCTACACAACTCTGCCTCTTACTCTCTCATTCCTTCAGACGCTTTGACTCTCCCGGCTTCTTCACATGGAGCAAACACACAATACTAGTGGCTCTTGAGGTTTTGAGGTTTACATATGAATCAGGCGGGGTTTTTGTTAGATGCACAGAACTGTCTTCTGTTGGTGAAGTGAACATTATTGTTGTGATCAGGTGTAACGGTTCAATAAATTCACGGTTCGGTTCGATGCGATACAGTGGTTCACTTTTCGATACAGCAAAAAGAAAGAAATGCCAGAGAAATGTCCTATTTATTAAAAGAAAAATTGAAGTGTGAGTTTTCTTACATCTTGAAGGATAACTGGGTTTCTTTTTTCTGGTGAGAAACTTTAAGGACATCTCTCGCTCTCCATTTACTCTTATTGCGGTCTAGGTGAAACATTTAAGATATTAAAAAGGTGTAATTTATGATATTATGGCATGTTTACACCTGTCTGGCTGTTGATGATGTTTCTTGTGTGTTGCACTTCTAGGTTGTCTGGATTTGTGTCCTGAATAATGGAGATTTAGCAGCGCTAGTATCCCATGAATTCATGTCCAAATGTTTCTCCTCAAATCAAAAAGGCATTTCAGAGGAATTTTCCCTAACCATCAGATTTGAAATCCTCAAAGTGTGCTTGTCATGTGTGATGATTTCCTGGTCTTCTGTCTCATGAAAGTGTGTCCCTCGTCACTCTCTCCGGCATTAATGCATCTTGTTTGCGGGAAATAGAAGTGGCTCTGGAGCGGGTCGGGTCACGCAGGTTTGAGGATCGCAGGGTTTGTTAGATGGATGTTTGTGCTGTGTTTCCCTCGGCGGATCCGGTTATTGCCTGTGGAAAGGTTAAAGTGTTCAGGGGAACCAGCAGAATCCTCAAAATGAGATGCAGGAGATCGTATCACAGCGTCTCTTCTTCACACACTGATGTTTCCTCCGGCCTCTGCACTTCTGCGTTCTTCCCTTTGAGGAAGTTTGCATGGAATCCGGGGCAAATGCATATGATTGTGTGTGTGTGTGTTCACGTAGTATTAATGCAGCAAATTTCAGTAGCACCTCATTGCAGTACACGAGATCCAGGGGGCGGAGTTGGATCCAGATCTAAGGGGTGGAGATGGGTAGGATTAGGGATCAGGGGCGGGAAATGGGTAGGATTATAGGTGGGGTTAGGGATCAGGGGCGGAGATGGGTAGGATTGGGGGTGGGGTTAGGGATCAGGGGTGGAGATGGGTAGGATTAGGGGTGGGGTTAGGGATCAGGGGGCGGAGATTGGTAGGATTAGGGGTGGGGTTAGGGATCAGGGGGCGGAGATGGGTAGGATTAGGGGTGGGGTTAGGGATCAGGGGCGGAGATGGGTAGGATTAGGGGTGGGGTTAGGGATCAGGGGCGGAGATGGGTAGGATTAGGGGTGGGGTTAGGGATCAGGGGGCGGAGATTGGTAGGATTAGGGGTGGGGTTATGGATCAGGGGCGGGAAATGGGTAGGATTAGGGGTGGGGTTAGGGATCAGGGGGTGGAGCTGGGTAGGATTAGGGGTGGGGTTAGGGATCAGGGGGCGGAGATGGGTAGGATTAGGGGTGGGGTTAGGGATCAGGGGCGGAGATGGGTAGGATTAGGGGTGGGGTTAGGGATCGGGGGCAGAGTTGGGTAGGTTTAGGTATATGTAAGGTGGGAGGAGTTGGATTTGGATCCAACTCCTCCCCCTGGATTTCAATCCAACTCCCCCCCCTGAATTTCGTGTTCTGCAGTGAGGACCATCTCGCAAATTTGGGCACATTTTTTTACTTTTGTTAATACACACACACACACACACACACAAACACACACATATACACATACATAAAGCAGTATAAATATAAATATCTCATTTATATTTTTTATATACAGGTGAAACTCGAAAAATATGGTGCAAAAGTTCATTTATTTCAGTGATTCAACTTTAAAGCTGAAACTAATATATTATATAGACTCATTACATGCAAAGTGAGATATTTCAAGCCTTTATTTGTTATAATTTTGATGATTATGGATTACAGCTTATGAAAACCTTTTCACAATATTCTAATTCTAAATTTTGCGTTTTCATAAGCTGTGAGCCATAATCATCACAATTATAACAAATAAAGGCTTGAAATATCTCACATTTTTCCTTTGATTAAAATATTGCCATATTAGTTTATGAAATAAGGGGTTACACTTTATTTTAAGGTGTCATTGTTACAGTGTAATTATGCATTTAAGTTCTGAGTAATATTAATGAACTACATGTACTTACTATAGACTTAAGGTAGGATTAAGTTTTGGTTTAGGTTTAGTTTCATGTAATTATGCATAATTTACTGTTATTACTATGGTAAGTAACTAACTATGGTAACTATTTTCGCCTTAAAATGACCAGTTAACTAACCTCTCTCTCTCTCTCTCTCTCTCTCTCTCTCTCCACAGGCTGTGCTTTTGTAAAGTTTTCCAGTCATGCAGAAGCTCAGGCTGCTATTAACAGTCTCCATGGTGGACAAACGATGCCTGTAAGTCTCTATCACTATATTAATATTAATTTCTCTAAATACCCGGCTATGTGTAAATGTGGCCTATCGTTTGTTTTTTTTCTATGTGCGCTGCAGTTTTGTCGTCTCTCTCTTTAAATGCTCGAGCGTTTAATTGAATTGAAAAACATTTTAGCAGAGCATCAATTTAGAGTTCGTTCCAAAATCTTTGGGTTTTGGGACACTCCTAAAATAGATGATTAATATATAAATTAATATTAATATTGAAAACACCGAAGCACAAGAGATTTAACTGGATGGACTAATGAATGTTCCTGTTGTTATTGAGGATCTGCAGATGTGTGGTGTCTGATGTAGATCGACTGTTGCGCACTCAGACCTCAGGTTAGCTGAACTGAATTAAATGTAGTTTTGCACCTTCGTCTTGAAGGCTCAGAAATGCAGACACACTGTAAAAAGCTGAGATTATACTTGTCTTGGAGAAGGTGTTGATCTCAGGTGTTGAGCTGATTCTGCTGAAACACTGCAGCTCAGTGTGTGTGTGTGTGTGTTTGCTGAGCATGTAAATATTCACTTTATCACGCTTGAGAAAAGTAGTTTGTGTAAGATAGTTTGGTATTTCGATGGCCCACTTTAGACATTCCAACTACAAGTAACTTTGTCACTAGAGTATTAGTCGATTAAATACTCTATACTCATCTTTCTGCGTAAATACTCTTTATTTTGATGCTCCTCAGCAGATTTTCTACTGTCCATAAGTAACGCTGCATCTGCATGTCATCTTATTATACTAACCCGAACTCTACTAATACTCTAATGAGAGTTGCAAAGTTACTTGTAGTAAAGTGGACCATCCAAATAAACTGATATTTTCTGTTTATTAAACTTGTCAACACCATGTGCACATTGCATTTCACCTCAAACAATAAGAAATTATATTTCGCATTATTTTCATGACAATAAAACAAATTCCTTCAATGTCTCATTATTGTCATCTGATAAAATCAAATGATAATATATATTATTTTGCCATTCTGCCATTTTTATAGTATTATAATGTTTTATATAGATTTTGCATATAAATTAATTTTATATTTTACTTTAATACTGTATAAAGTATGGCATATTACATTGAAATAAATTGATGTAAATACATACATATTTTCTCTCAGAAATTACTAGTAAATTTCACAAATAATTGCAATTAAATGGCGAGAAACACATTGAATTAAACACGAAATTACAAAAAACTAAAATTTCTTTATGGTGTAGTCTAGACATATTACACTTATGAGATTTGATATGATAATCCCAATGGTCTTTTATTTATGCGAAATATAATTCCTTTTGATTTCTGTATGAAATGTCACATGGACATGTTCTCCCCTTAAACACAAAAAGGTTTTAATTTTTTTCCCCGAAGAACTTATTAGTAAAAAAAAAAGTCAATATTTCCTCTTCGTGGTAAAATCTGAAAGTGTTTCTGTCACTTTTGTCAGTTCCATTCTGTACAATTCTTTCAGTTATTGTTTTTTATTTCTTTGCTATGTAAATCTCTGCGGGCCGTGTGAGATTTAATCCAGACGCTTTCCTCAAACCAGATGAGTTTCCTGAACCTGTGACGAATGCCTCGGCCGGGACTGTCAGAGATGACAGCTTATCGAATTCAGAAAAATTCATTTCATCCCAGATACAGCAGCGCCTGCTTCCGCCCGTCATTATTGTGTTTGTTTGCGGGGATGTGTCTTTCAGCCGGAAGAAAATGTCCTTTCTCAAGGATCGACAGAAAGTGCTGCTCATCTGCACACGACGGACCTTCAGGAGCTTCTGAAGACATCATTTCTTTACTAATATCATTATTCTTTCTCAGAACTGACCGTTCCCTTTAGACAAGCCACGCCCCCTCTCACACACACCATGTTCTCACAGTGAAACACATATCGCGGACCAGAGAAGACACTGAAGAACTCGCCTCCATTGTATCTTGAGTTTCTTCCGGGAGCGAAAACGTTACAATATTCCTCATTATAATAATTAATACGCAGAATAAAGGGGCGGGGCCTGGTTGAGTTAGTTAGTAGTGTGTTAAACTGGCGGTTATGGAAAGGGGCGGGACATTTCCCAAACACACTCGTCCAATCACAACACATTGATCCAACTGACCAATCAGAGCACAGTGTGCTTTTCAGAAGGAGGGGCTTCATAGAGACAGGAAGTGAACAGAGCGTTACTGACAGACTGGGAAGAGAGGAGCCGCAACAATGGAGAATAATCAACATTCAAGCAGGAAAACCTGTTCTAGTAGAGCCTGAAACACATCAAGAGTTTATAAAAGGGCATAATAGGTCCTCTTTCAGGAATATGAATTGAATTATATGTGTGTGTGTGTGTGTTCAGGGCGCGTCCTCCAGTCTGGTGGTGAAGTTTGCAGACACTGATAAGGAACGAACCCTGCGCAGGATGCATCAGATGGCGGGTCAGCTCGGCATCTTCAGTCCCATGACCATTCAGTTCGGAGCATACGGAGCGTACACACACGCTGTGAGTCTCACACACACAGATTACCAGCAATTTCTATGACAGAAACAAGCTTCCCCACTCTAAAAATACACTGGGTTAAAAACAACCCAGTTTGTTTTCAACCCACGTCCTCAAGAGCGCATTTTGGGTTAATTTTACCCAGCAAATTGGGTTGTTTATTTAACCCAGGATACTGTGTTGATTCATTTTTACTATACTGTAGTACTAGGCTAGCTTTTTCTCATTTTTTTTTCTTCATACATGAATTAATGTTTACGGATTAACTTAAATCCTCTAAAAAATTTTAAGAAAATACTCCACACAGCATCTGGTTTGAATGATAATTCCTTTATTTTTTATTAAATTTTACAGTATAGCGTATTTTATATAGTTTTGAATACATATTGCATACATTTAAGCTCATTTAACAAATATTAGAGGTAAAAATTAAAACATATATAAGTAATTTAAGTGTAATAGACCAGTCTCTGTGGTCCCGAAACTTCTAACTTCAGACCGCCAACCTGCGTTTCACTTGTAGATATATATTAACTTTCTAAGCATTTATATTCTGTATCTTTTTTTATAAAATCATCAAATGTAATCAGGTGAAAAGACTGACACGACACTCGTTTCACGACACTCACATCGTGCCCCTGTATGTTGCTTTTTATACATTTAAATTATATATGGCACAATAATGTATTATAGATCAAATAAAATGTACACAAACCTGTATTTATCGAAGACTTGCACCAATTTGACTGCACTGCTCTCTCCTGAAGATTATGCTAAAAGCCTGCAGTACATAACTCAACTCCTGGGTTGTTACGTCTGACACACAAGCTTTGTAACACAAAAATAACCCTAACACTGGGTTGTTACGCCTGACTCAGTAGCAGATCCCTTAGTCAGACGTACATATAAACAACCCAGTGTTTGGGTAGTTTTTGTGTTACCCAGCTCCTGAGTCAGACGTAACAACCCAGTGTTTGGATAGTTTTTGTGTTACCCAGATCCTGGGTCAGACGTAACAACCCAGTGTTTGGGTAGTTTGGGTTGTTACGTCTGACTCAGGATCTGGTAACACAAAACTACCCAAACACTGGGTTGTTATATGTACGTCTGACTCAGGGATCTGCTACTGTACTGGGTCAGGCGTAACAACCCAGTGTTTGGGTCATTTTTGTGTTACAAAGCTCCTGTGACAGACGTAACAACCCAATGTTTGGGTAGTTTTTGTGTTACCCAGATAGTCAGACGTAACAACCCAAACTACCCAAACACTGGGTTGTTATGTCTGTCACAGGAGCTTTGTAACACAAAAATGACCCAAACACTGGGTTGTCACGTCTGACCCAGGATCTGGGTTACACAAAAACTACCAAACACTGAAAAAATGACCCCAAAAAATGTACCCAAAAGGCTCAACCCAGGTTTTGGTTAGAAAAAATAAGCCAAGATTTTATAGAGTGCTAGATATTTTAGACTCATTACATGCAAAGTGAGATATTTCAAGCCTTTATTTGTTATAATTTTGATGATTATGGATTACAGCTTATGAAAACCTTTCGCAATATTCTAATTTTGAATTTGGGGTTTTCATAAGCTGTGAGCCATAATCATCAAAATTATAACAAATAAAGGCTTGAAATATCTCACTTTGCATGTAATGAGTCTATATAATATATTAGTTTCACCTTTTGAGTTGAATTACTGAAATAAATGGACTTTTTCATGATATAAAAATGATTCGAGTTTGACCTGTATTTGTATAAATCTGTGTGTGTGTGTGTGTGTGTGTGTGTGCAGCAGGTGATGCAGCAGCAGGCGGCGCTCATGGCAGCGTCTCAGGGCTCGTATCTGAACCCCATGACTGCCCTCGCCGCCGCCGCTCAGATGCAGCAAATGACAGCTTTCAACGTCAATGGCCTCGTGGCTGCGCCGATGACACCGTCTTCAGGTACCACACACACACACACACACAAATAAAGCGTTAATTAAAGTAGGCAGCAGGATCAATCGCTCCACTCTCGCAGGAAACGTGTTTCATCAGTTCGGCTCTCAAGAGCAACAAGTGTTCGTCTCAGCCAATAATCTCACAGTTGTGTGTCACACGAGGGTTTTTTGTTTTCATCTTTTTCAACTTCTTCTATCGCGTTCACGTTCCCACACAGAAGCTCTTACAAAACCTACAGAGCTGACAGCATTTCACAAAACATTAAATGCATCATTCTTAAAGATCATCCCAGAATGCATTTAAACTATGTTTCATTCCATCTTGAAAAGTATTGATCAATGTTATTATGCCAAATATTTGTTTGGAGGCCGGTGATATTTTTGTTACTATATATATTTACTATACTATATTTTTTTTTGGGCTGTGCAAAAATTAATTGCGATTAATCGCATCCAAAATAAAAGTCTGTGTTTACATAATATATTTGTATGTGCTGTATATAATTATTTTGTATATATAAATACACACACATGCATGTATATATTTAAGAAAATGTGTTATTCATATATAAAATATTTATATAATATAGATTATGTATTTATATATATATATACAGAATTTAAGCGCAAATAATTTTTAAATATATACATGCATGCATAGGTATTTATATATACAAAATAATTATATACAGCACACACAAATATATTATGTAAACACAGACTTTTATTTTGGATGCGATTAATCGCAATTAATTTTTACTTTTTTTTAATGTATTTTCCACTATTTTGCATTTTCTCTCAAACATGCTTTTTGATCTCATCCTATCGCTTTTATTATATTTTCTAATATCTTTATTGTTATTTAAAGCTTGACATCAAAGTGACGTCGTCTTGACTTATTCATACTTTTGCCCATCATGGATGCATTAAATTGATGTAAGGATTCATTAAAACAAAAATAACATTAAAGACTTTTATAATGTTACAAAAGATTCTGCTTCAAATAAACTTTCAATTCATCAAAAAATCCTAAAAAAAATCATGGTTTCCTCAAAAATATGATAATAATAATCATAAATGTTTGTTGATCATCAGATCCTCATATTGGAGTGACTTCTGAAGGATCATGTGACACTGAAGACTGGAGTAATGATGCTTTGATCACAGGATATAAATTACACTTTACTACATATTCACATAGAAAACAGATATTTCAAATTGTAAAAATATCTCACATTTTTGATCAAATAAACGCAGCCCATTGTTGTTGTTTTTTAAACAAAACAAAAATTACACTTCTGACCAATAGCAATGCGGTTCCGTCTTATCAGGATGCTGTCTATGCAGTGTGTGAAGCAGAGAGAGTGTGTCACTCAGTAAAACACCAGGTGTGATGGGAAATGATCCGTCTCAGTGTGAGGATGATCTGATGCCTTTGACCAGAGTCCTTGACTGAAGAATACAGAAGTGAAGATTTGTGACGGATAATCCCAGACCCCCGTTTGACCCCCGTCTCACACACACACACACACACTCCTGATGTGTCTGCAACAAAAGCCCGCTGACACCTCAGACGAAGGGTCACGAGGAATTAATTAAAGCGCTTCCTCTCGCTCTCGTCTGTCAGTTTTCCCGCTTTGATAATCCGTGATGTGGACACACACTCTTGTTACCCGTCAGCTTTAATCTGCCACGACTCAAATGCCCTTGGAGGAAAGCCGAAAGAAGTTGAGCGATCAGTGTCAGGAGGGCAGCGAAGAGCCGCGTCTGTGACCGCAGACAAACACTTATTAATGCTTCGACTCGACCTCCTGCATCCGGTCAAACGTTCAGTCCTACAGCGCTTTATAACTTCATCCAATATGAGCCAAACTCCGCTGTAAAGCAGACAATACTGTGATTACTGTCAAAGTCAAAATGCTATGACCCAGAGTTTGTATTCTTATTGTCATAGTACTATTGTCACTACTGTTGTAGATTGCTAGAGCCTATATTACTATTGTTGTCATGAATATTATCATTATAAATACTATCTTTGATACTACCACCACTAATACTAATATATATATATATATTTCTCTAAGTAGACTTATATATATATATAAGTCTCTATCATATCCTCTACAACTATTCAGATACTACCCAATTGCATCACAGAAAGGACCTCATGTGCCTACATATACCACTTTGTCGATGACTGTGTATTTTTGTATTTTTTGTATTTTTCTGTTCTCTGTGTTTCTTTGTTGTTGTTTTTTTTTGTTTTTTTTGTTTTTTTCCCTTTCCTCCTTCTGTATTGTAGATGTGTCTCACTGAATCTTACCTGGTATGTGTTACTGTTTTGTTAATCTGCAATATATATATAAAAAAAATGCTGCTTTCACTGCAATTTAAATGAATATTATTTTTTGTAAATCAGAGTTTATGCTTAAAACAAGAACAAATATCTGCCAACTTTGAATTAAGCTGATTTTACTGACCCCACTGGCACATATTTTTAAGCATAAACTTACTTCGTTTTGGTGACTTTTTCAAGTGGAAGTAAATGTGTCTTGATTTAAGAATGTTTAGATATTTGAGGAGAACATATATTTGTGTTGAAACAGTCTGTAGTTTATAAAGCGCTATATAAATGAAAGTTGCTTGTACTGTGCCAATCAAAGGCTTGTTAAGTGTGTGTGTGTGGTGTGTGTTCGTAGGCACCAGCACTCCACCAGGCATCAGTGCCGGCGCGGTGCCCAGCATGGCAGCTTCCATCGGGGTCAACGGCTTCAGCGCCCTCCCTCACCAAACCAACGGACAGCCCTCCTCCGAAGCCATCTACACCAACGGCATCCATCCGTACCCAGGTAACAACACACACTCGTACCTGATGCGCGTTAAGGGTTTTCCAAGTTAACCCTTGTGCATTCTTATGGACATTTTTGTCTTTTTCAGTTTTAGTTTTTTGATCACTTTGCCTGTGTTAAAGCTAACGGCAAAAAAATTGGCACAGGTGTGTATTTTTATTGGAATTTTACTATTTCACCGTCATTTTTTTGCATTAGGTACAAAAAATACTCCCTCTCAGCACCTTTTGGACAAAAATGTCCCCATTGAAACCCCCGGTTCAGTTAACTATAAAATTATGCAATCTTTGTTAAGAGGCTTTCATTCTGATGGCAAGGCTTCAAAATTTTTATTTTTTACTATTTTTTATCAGATGGTGCCATTTTTTTTTTTTAAGTTTGGCCTATAAAACAAATATCGCTTTATTCCTGTTTTCTGCTTCGGCATATTATAGAGCCGACTGGATAAATTATGCAACGATATTTGTGTGGGTGTGTTGGTATGGATGTCAGAGTGTGGTTAGTATGTGTGTTACAAAAAAATATGTGTGTAGAGAAAAACTGCAAATAACAAATCCAATCACTGTGAGCTCCAGTGGGGTTTTGCTGCCACCCGATGGGGAAAATATGTTACTACGCCCAAACAAACTGTTACCCAAAGCTCATTTTTTGAGATGATATCCTCAAATTTGGAACACAACCTATTTAGATTTATGGCTTTGATTTTATTGCATATGTTTTTTGATATGTTTTATATAAAATATTTTTTATAAATAATTTTCATAAACTTATACCTATATAACTTTTGGATTTACTTATTATTATTTTATCTGCAAAGGGTCTTCTTTAAAATGATACCAAACTTAAGTCTGTGCTCCGAAGCGTCACATTTTTATGACAGTTTTTTGACATGGACATTTTTGTCCATTTTTGTTTTTGCACAAGGGTTAATATCTAATGATCTTTTCAACAGAAATGAATCAATCAACTTGACTTGACTAGCCTTCAGATGTTGCTGTCCCTTCCTAATAAAGCAGATCCGAATCAGCACTGACTAGCAACAGAACCCAGAGCCTATCTGAGCTGTTTCGACCCATTGAGCTCTATTAGTTCTCACGTGGGTTACACGGGCTCAAGTCTGGCCTGAGACGGGAGAAGGTTTAATGAGTAATACAGATATTTTAGATATTATTTTAGTTATGAAATGAATGTGGACAGAAACAATGTGGTTGAATAATTTGTATTTATATTTAAAAAATGTGTGTGTGCGCGTGTGTGTGTCTACAGCACAAAGCCCGACGGTTACAGACCCTCTCCAGCAGGCCTATGCCGGTGTGCAACACTATGCAGGTGATTCTTACTATGAAGCGCTGATAACATCACTCACACACTGGATCAGTCCTCATATGACTGATGAAACACCCTGCTTTATGATAGCCTGAACTTTCTAATCAATTGTCATCATGTGACCTTGTTGCGTTGCATGTAGTTTCCAGGATTATAGAAATTAATGTGGTTATTTAGCATTTTTATTCAGTCTGGCTGATCAAACAATGTGTCACTTATGTTTCATCCGTCACACTTGCAGTGCATTGTGGGATGCAGATGATAATAACCTTACAGGAAACGGCAGTGTGTGAATTGAGCCCTCTGTTAATACAGATGTAGGATGATTGAGTGTGTGAAGCAGAGTAAAGATGAGTGTGATGAGCTTTATTCATGTATTCAGTGTTAAATCAGGAATTGTCTCTCGCTCTCGGTTACAGCAGCCTATCCTGCCGCGTACGCGCCGATTAGCCAAGCGTTTCCCCAGCAACCAGCCATCATCCCCCAGCAACAGCGGGAAGGTGAGTGAGACTCCGCCCACTCCCGATAAAAGCAGCTAATTGCTCTGAGAAATGGGTGGAAAATTCATAATAAATAATAAAAATGAATGAGGACAGAAATCACCAGAGTTTCATCCAAAATACGAACGAGCGTCTGGATCTGTGTTAATATCTAATGTGTTTTGATATTTTATGCTGCTGTAACATTTCTGGTGTCTTAGACCTTAATGAAATAGTTTGTCAAGATTAATTACAGTTGTAGTTTCCATGTTTGGTTGTGACTGAAAGTCTGTTTGTGTGTTTGTATTCCTCGTTGTGCTCTCTGTATTTGTGCAGCGCTCTCTTGGGAAAAACGCTCAATTAAATTGTGTCCCAGAAATTAATTTAAAGTTGCTCACAGTCATGGTAATGAGTTATGAAGGAGTTTTGAAGTATTTCATTTTATTGTTGTTTGCTGTTCATTTTAAACTGAACTAAAGTGCGGAGTGGATCTCTACGGGACAGACGACAGAAACCAGCCGAACACTGCAGATACAAAATAAAGTCTGTTTCTTTTTTCTTTTTATTTAATTTTTTTTTAAATTGATTTAACTTTAATATTTTTATATATATATATATTTACTTATTTCTCTTTTGTTACACGTGATTTGATTTTAATATACATTGGTTTGTCTTTTGTTTATTTTATGTGACTTTAGTGTATTTTAAATAGTTTTGTCTTGTTTTACTAAATTAGATTTTTTTCTTTTCTTTTTTGTTTTTGTTTCATTTTATATATATATATATAATTTTTAATTATTTTTAAATCATTTTAAATTGATTTGATTTAAATATTAATTAATTTATTTTATTGTAGCTTTATTTTATGTTTTGTCTTTTGTTTCATCTTTTGTGATTTTAATATATTTTAATTTGTTTTGTGTTTAATATATTTGTTATTTATTATTTTATGCTCTTTTATTTTATTTTAACATATTTTAATTATTAATTTTAAACTTATTTTATTATAAAAATTTTTTTTTGATTTTAATATAATTTAATAATATTTTATTTTTATTTTATCATTTAATTGTATGTTTTGTCTGTTGAATTATTTAATTTTACTATTATTCTTTAGTTAAGTTTATGTTGTCTTGTTTTATTGGATTTGATATATCATTTATATTTTGTATGTTTTATCTTTTATTTTGATAGGATTTTAATATTAAAATGGACATAGTTTAGTTCTGTCTTGTCTTTTATGTTGTTGTTTTCCTCAATCAGCCCCGTCTTAATTTACCACAAATCTCCCGTCTTCGTCGTGCCGTTAAAGCGAGAGTCAGATCCTGACGAGCACCAGGAGACACTGAGGAATTATTTATGGTTATACAATTTTCCCAAGCGCCGCCACACCTCGGAAGTGTCTGGATGACTTCAAATCCCATATCAATGTTTAATCAAATCTCCGTTTAACATCGTCTGAATCCTTTGCCAGATCACAGGCTGAAAACAGGTGCAACAGATCAATTTACTCGCAGATCCTCCTCTGAATATGCATCTGCATGCGCGCCGCTCGGCCTTCTGGGTACGGGTGTGTGTGAAATCTGGTTCTGTGTCTCCCCTTGCAGGACCGGAGGGCTGTAACCTGTTTATTTACCACCTGCCGCAGGAGTTCGGGGACGCGGAGCTCATGCAGATGTTTCTGCCCTTCGGCAACGTCATTTCTGCCAAAGTCTTCGTGGATCGGGCCACCAATCAGAGCAAGTGTTTCGGTGAGTTCCCACAATGCTCTAGCCCAGGCCTATTCAGTCAGCTTCATTCGAGGGCCGGATTATTAATTAAAATTAAGTGAGTTGCTTGAAAAATAATGTTTCTGTTTGAATTATGATCATTGGCAGATAATATTGGTTGTTTTAAATAATTTCCCCAGAAACCAGGGCAAAATATGTCATTTTACAACTTTAGTAAATGCATCTTGATTTAAGAAATGTTTAATATTTGGACTGGAAACAAGACAAAAATACTAAGTAAGAAAAGCATGTTATGCAGTGTATTAGAAATACTTTATTCAAAAGAGATTAGTGGGGATTAAAAAAAGTTTAGGATTAATTCAAGCCATTGTTCTTCATTATTCCTCCAGGATTGCTTCAGAAATGGAGTAATTGTTGCTTGTGTGTGTGTGTCAGGTTTCGTCAGCTTTGATAACCCGTCCAGCGCTCAGGCGGCCATCCAGGCCATGAACGGGTTCCAGATCGGCATGAAGAGACTGAAGGTTCAGCTGAAGAGGCCGAAAGACGCCAACCGGCCGTACTGACCCGCATCATCATCATCACAGGTCAGTTCTGCTCAGGGTCACGTCTGAGGAACCACACACACCCCAACACCGCCGCAACTCGTGCTTCACCATCACAGTATGATGCATCATGGAGAAATCAAGTCCCGAAACCGTATTGTATTGCATGTATTAACAGGGGAAACTCGAAAAATGAGAATATGGTGCAAAAGTTCATTTATTTCAGTAATTCAACCTAAAAGGTGAAACTAATATATTATATAGACTCATTACATGCAAAGTGAGATATTATTGTTATAATTGTAATGATTATGGCTTACAGCTAATGAAAACCTTTTCACAAAATTCTACTTTTGAATTTGGGGTTTTCATAAATTACATAAATTTCATGTAGATTTTTTATTAGACTTTGTTTCATTTATTTTGAACACTCACTCAATGTCAATGTCTAGTCATAGAATAATAACAGATTTCCCAAATTCTCCCTTCCATTCCTTTATTTTATTGTATTTTATTTTATAATATTCGTTTATAAAAAATCAAGAAAAAATCAAGTCACGACCTTCCCGAAACCGTATTATATTGCATGTATATATACAGGGGAAACTCGAAAAATGAGAATATGGTGCAAAAGTTCATTTATTTCAGTAATTCAACTTAATAGGTGAAACTAATATATATTATATAGACTCATTACATGCAAAGTGAGATATTATTGTTATAATTGTAATGATTATAATAATAATACATTTTATTTATAATGCGCTTTTCTAAAACCCAAAGCGCTACAAATAATAAAAACAAGTTAAATACAAGTACAAAAGTAATACAAAATAATCATTACAGTACACAACATTAGGATACTAATCATAAGGATACTAATCATAAGGTTTAATTATGGCTTACAGCTAATGAAAACGTTTTCACAAAATTCTAATTTTGAATTTGGGGTTTTCATAAATTACATAAATTAAATTTCATGTATATTTTTTATTAGACTTTGTTGTAACACCCCCCCACTCACTCAGTCAATGTCTAGTCATGGAATAATATCAGATTTTCCCAAATTCTCCCTTCCATTCCTTTATTGTATTGTATTTTATTTTATAATATTCATTTATAAATCGTTGTTGTGCAAGAATATCAGTTTTCCCAAGTTGACCCCAAATTTTCACCTCCTCTTATCTTATTTTATTTATTTTTTTATTTATTTTTGTTCCCAGATGTATCCAACTCCCCGTCCTCCGTCTCACTCGCGGCTCTGACTGGAACTCGCAGTTTCTCTTTTAGTGTTTCATTGAAGAAATAAAATCATACGGGTTTGGATCGAGTGTGTGTGTGTGTGTGACGGCTGAATAAGAGCTCGTTCCCGCTGTGTTTTGCTTGTAAATGCGTGTCATGATTTATCCGCTGAACATGAACTCTTAAACACACGAATGCCATGGACTGTTGTGTTTCTGTTCTCGAACCCGGCAGGGCTCAGGTACAGTAGCTCAGGACGGGCCGCTCTCTTATGTCTTCATCAGAGGAAGCTTGTCCAATCACTGTAAGTCCTCCCAGTGATGTCACGTGCGTGTGGATGGCGTCATGTGACTGTGGCTCTCGCTGTACTTCTGGTGTTTAGGAGTGTAACTGGAGCTGGTATCCGCTCGTCGTAACTCAAGTGCTGATTGGTTGATGGGTTGTGACCTTTGTCCTTTTATTGCTGTCGTACTGTGAGTTGTTGTACTCTTCCTCGTTTAATGTCTCTCTCTCTCTCTCTTTCTTTAGTTACTCAAGCTCTGTTTGTTCTGGTGTGTATTTTGTGTTTTGGAGGTTTCGAAGGCTTGCTCGCGTCTGTATTTGAGTACGCAAAGACTTTCCTTTTCATTCCGTTGTAGAAAAAGTTCAGTTTAACTTTAAGAAATATATTACTGTTGTTCAGTAGAATTTAGCCACATCTCAATGTAATACATTTATGTTTAAATCCTTGAATAATCAAGAATGTTTTAATTTTGTTAAATTGTTAAATTTGTGGTTTGGTGGTTTACGGTTCTTAGAAATTATAATTTTTTTTTTAAAGAAATGTATACCTTTATTTATTTTATAAATTCAGTTAATTAGACATGCTTACTGATTATTACAATTTAATTTGAAAAATCAAATGGAATCCAGTAAAAATAAAAAAAAAAACAATTTAGAAAAAAATTAAATGTATTTCATAGGGCCCTAAATATTTTTAATAGGGCTGTGCAAAAATTAATTGCGATTAATCGCATCCAAAATAAAAGTCTGTGTTTACATAATATATCTGTGTGTGCTGTATATAATTATTTTGTATATATAAATACACACACATGCATGTATATATTTAAGAAAATGTGTTATTCATGTATAAAATATTTATATTTATATAATATAGATTATGTATTTATAAATATATACAGAATTTAAGCGCAAATAATTCTTAAATATATACATGCATGCATGCATAGGTATTTATATATACAAAATAATTATATACAGCACACACAAATATATTATGTAAACACAGACTTTTATTTTGGATGCGATTAATCGCAATTAACTTTTGCACAGCCCTAATTTTTAATAAACTTTTTAAAAAAAAGTTCCATGATTTTTATTAATTAGACATGCTTTTTAATTTCTTAAATTTAAGTCCAAAAAAATATATTTTTTTTACGAAAAAAGAAAATAAAAATGGAATCCAGAAAAATTAAAACAGGGAAAAAAAGCAGAATTTGGAAAAAAATTAAACAACTACAACAGCCTCTCTAAAGCTGAAAGATTCCCTGTTAATGAATCGAGACATTCCCCTTCTGCTATGTGGTGTTTTCATTGGGTGATCTGAAATAGTTTTGCTTGTAGATTCAACCCTGATCACTAGTGATGTTTACAAGTCAACATTTTTTAAATTTTTTAAGAAAAATAAGTTGTAATGCGTGTGTCTTCTGATGTTATTGCTGCTGATGGACTGTATATTTCAGATGATGTAAATTCTGGAAGATTTAATCACATCACAGTTTATTAAACACATCACGCAGATTGAGCACATAATAAACACTGAATGACCTCATAGCTGTATATTAATCATCAGATATGTGTTATTGTGCTGTCAGAAAGTGATCAGTCAATGGATAACTGTCCTGCTGTTGCTTTTACTGCTTCTGTCTTGTAGTTGCTGGACAATTTTTACGTATTTCCATATTTTCGTAGGTTTTGATGTTGAAATCAGCCGTATATGTTATCGGACAGTACGGCCGTGGTTGTTCATCGTCTCGTTTGTTCACACAGAAGTATTTTAAATGAAGTTCAAGCAATTTAAACTGTCCTAGAAAACACATTTACAAGTTCACTTTCATCCAGAGCTCCTTTATACCCGTATAACACATGAACATATAAGATTTTGGTTTAGATGTCAAGAACATGTGTATGTAACATATATCTCACTCCAAAATCAAATATACGGTAGATATATTTTATTAAACACAGTAGTTTCCAGCTGTTCACAAATGCGCTTATTTATTATATTATGTAACTTAAGTTTTAGTCATGTACTAATAATAATAATTATAATAATAATAATAACATTTTCTATTTTCTTTCCAGCTTTGTAAATATATATATATATATATACTGTTTAAATACTGACTTCCTGGAATATTCTACATTATTTATTTTCGTGGCAATTTCTTCCTATGTTTTGTTGTTGTTGTTGTTGTTGTTTTATCACCGATACAAAAAAGGTCAAATATTTCAAAATCCTATTGTATGGTAATTATGCCTTTTAGAAAGTATGTAAAGTTTGTATATTTGGTAGTATTTTCCCGCTTGCTGATTTTCTTGAATAAAATTTTTACAGAAATGCATTAGAAATATTAAAAGCAAAGTAAAAAGTAAAACATCTAATGTGTTTAATTGTCACGAACAAATAAAAATTATGTCACACAATGCAAAAAAATACATAAAATAAGCTTTATTTTCTTCTCGCGTTATATAATATCTTGATTTTGGGGTGGAATATGAGTGTCTGTAGTGTACATGATGAAGTTAATTCATCAATTAATTCACTTCTTTTCTTCTGTCTCTCTGTTTCTCTGTCAGGATGAAGGACTTCAACACTTTATCTCCACAAGACTTTAGCTGTGCTGCATATCACAGGAGGCGAGCGGTCCCGGGTTTACTGGGAAAATCACGGAGAGCTGGGAAAACTGGAACACAAAGGATTTTTTCTGCCAACTTTATTTTATTTTTTATTTTTTGCTTCAGCATTTGCAGGATGCTTTTTTGCATTTTGCAGAGACCAACATTTTTTTTTTTTTTGACAAGATCGAGAAAAAAAACTTTATGAACACGTAATGCTCAAAGCATGCATAAACAAACATATATACAAATGCACACCTATTCTCGCCTTTACATGCACACATACAGAACTATTTTGAAATCCTCATGTAAATGCATTGATCTCTACACACACACACACACACACACACACACACCAGCCTGCTGCCATTTTGGTTTTCGTGCCTACACTGGTATCGCGTGATCTGCGCTCTGGAAGAGAATCCAGGAATATCTACATGCATCATTCCTTAGAAAATAGGGACCAAAGGACTACACGCTTTTTAAAAGTATATAAATATATATATTTAAAAAAAAAAAAAACTCTTACCTTGTAGCTGCGAGTATAATGATTACTAATGTTAACAGTAGAAGAAAGTAAATCTGTAGGCGTGTGTCGAGCGGCCGGTGTAAAAAGACGGTCATGTGACCCTGGTTTTGCTCTGGTAGCTGTTTCTTGCACCGAGACGTAGATTAGAAAAGTAGAATAGAGTTGCTCATTTTTCATGTTTTCTATTTATTTTTATCAGAGAAGATAATACTTGAACTTGTAAAGAAGATGAAAAGGAAAATGTACAGATGAAAACGAACTCTTTCCTCGGCCTGCTGGATAATACCGCTCATCATGTTGTGCTCTTTCTCCATTCCACTAATCGAACGAGGAAACGTGTCGAAGTGTGTCCGACAGGAATCCCAGAAGCCTTTGTGTTCGAGCGACAATCCACAGTCATGATGATGGGATGTGGCGCGTGTTTTGCTTGGTCCTCGCATCAGATGTTCGGACTTTATGACACTTCGATAGCTACTGAAACTGCCAAATGACCCGAAGCGGTGATGTTTTTGATACCCCTTCACTTAATGAGATGTTTATTGGTCTGAAACGCACACGTTAAAGACGTTCATCTGTGCTGTAATCCTCCCTTCATCTGTGTTTGTACTAATATCGAAACAGATATAGCAAAATGGCTTAAGATATTAAGTCTTGTTTACTGAAAGGGTTTATTCTTAAAGTGCCCCATTATGCTCTTTGAAATATTCCCTTTAATGTGTATTAGAGCCGTTTGTGTATGTACAAGTTCTGCAAAGTTAAGTTGTTGTCGATTCTGAACTGAAACGAGAACAAACCTACGTAAAAATAACTCATTAGCATAAGGCCAGCCTGTGGTGTTGATTGGCTGAGCAGCGCCTCTTAGCTCCGCCCATCTGAGACTGGAAGAGTTCTTGTTTTCTGAGATTGATACGGTGAAACCCACGCCATCGTTACTGTTCGTATCACTGAGATTCAGATATGATAATGAGCCAATCACAGCAGAGCAGCCCTCAGAGAGGCGGAGCTTAGAGAGACTGAAGCGTTTCAGACACTGAGAGAAATGACATGACGTGCAATTATGAGGAAATTAAAGTGTTAATGCGTGTGAACCCGTTCTAGGAGACGCCAAACTTTTAAAATAGTATAATAGGGCACTTAAAAATGAGAAAAGGATTCTGTTAGTGAGGTCAGAAAATGAATCTTGTTTTCCCTTTGAATTAAAGGGTTAGTTCACCCAAAAATGAAAATTCTGTCAGTATTTACTCGCCCTCATGTTGTTCCAAACCCGTAAGACCTTCGTTCATCTTCGCAACACAAATTAAGATATTTAAGATATTAAGATCGCTCCTGTATACTAGTCCATAGGCTTCTTGAGGGCCTCGAAAAGTCATTAAAGACATCGTTAAAATAGTCCAAGTGACTACAGGGGCTCAATCTTAACTTTATCAAACGACAAGAACACTTTTTGTGCGCAAAAACAACAAAAATAACGACTTTATTTCAACTATTGGTTTATTTCTCCCTCTGCGCGAGTCAGGTTACTAGTTTAATAGCGTAAGCTTCTGTTATTGTACGTCACACGCATCACATGACCAGCGTCGGCCAATAGTGAGCCTACGTGTGACGTAGCTTTACGCAATCACACTACGTTAACTGACTACAGGCCCATGGAGAAGGAAGTGAATAGTTGAAATAAAGTCCTTATTTTTGTTTGTTTTTGCGCACAAAAGTGTTCTCGTCGTTTGATAAAGTTAAGATTGAGCCCCTGTAGTCACTTGGACTATTTTAACGATGTCTTTAATGACTTTTCGAGTCATTCCCTCAAGAAGCCTATGGACTAGTATGCAGGAGCGATCTTAATATCTTAAATATCTTAATTTGTGTTGCGAAGATGAACGAAGGTCTTACGGGGTTGGAACAACATGAGGGCGAGTAAATACTGACAGAATTTTCATTTTTGGGTGAACTAACCCTTTAAGTGTAATGTTTTTGTGCAGTTTCACATTGATGATCAGGCCTTAAAAACAACAGTTATCCACCTCAGTCCCTCTTCCACGTGTAGATATGAAGAAATCAACATCATCCCCATTCTTCCATCTCAAAGTCGATCTTTCTGAGAGTTCATCGTGAACATTTCTCAATGGGCAGGTCTTTATCTCGTCATCGACTGATGATTTGAGGAGAGAAATCCGGGTGTCAATGACCAAACCTGACCTCTTGACCTTAATGCCAGCATAAGAGACGTTGCTTTTATCCTTTAAAAAAGACAAAAGACGCTCCCTCCAGGATCCCAAAGGACCAAAACCATGCAAATCTGCCTTGCTGCCTGCCCTCGAGCGCTGACATCATCACTCCCGTGAGCGGTGAACAGGTATCGGCCTGCCCATGTGTGCGACTCATCAAACTCTCCCTTCAATCGTTCTGCTGCGGTATTCATGATTCGGATTGGTTTTTGTCTCGCCGATCTCTAGTTTTAACCATTCTGTGCTGATAAAGCCACTTGCTGGAAAACATTTATTAATCACAACAATTTGCACGTTATAATTCGTTCCCTCGTTTTACTAAATCGTGCGCACGTTATAATTCGTTCCCTCGTTTTACTAAATCATGCGCACGTTATAATTCGTTCCCTCGTTTTACTAAATCGTGCGCACGTTATAATTCGTTCCCTCGTTTTACTAAATCATGCGTACGTTATAATTCGTTCCCTCGTTTTACTAAATCATGCGCACGTTATAATTCGTTCCCTCGTTTTACTAAATCGTGCGCACGTTATAATTCGTTCCCTCGTTTTACTAAATCATGCGCACGTTATAATTCGTTCCCTCGTTTTACTAAATCGTGCGCACGTTATAATTCGTTCCTCGTTTTACTAATCGTGCGCACGTTATAATTCGTTCCCTCGTTTTACTAAATCATGCGCACGTTATAATTCGTTCCCTCGTTTTACTAAATCATGCGCACGTTATAATTCGTTCCCTCGTTTTACTAAATCATGCGCACGTTATAATTCGTTCCCTCGTTTTACTAAATCGTGCGCACGTTATAATTCGTTCCCTCGTTTTACTAAATCATGCGCACGTTATAATTCGTTCCCTCGTTTTACTAAATCGTGCGCACGTTATAATTCGTTCCTCGTTTTACTAAATCGTGCGCACGTTATAATTCGTTCCCTCATTTTACTAAATCGTGCGCACGTTATAATTCGTTCCCTCATTTTACTAAATCGTGCGCACGTTATAATTCGTTCCCTCGTTTTACTAAATCGTGCGCACGTTATAATCCTTTCCCTCGTTTTAATAAATAATGCGCACGTTATAACCCATTCCCTCGTTTTACTAAATCGTACGCAAATTATAATAATTTGTTTCTTCACACAAATCGAGGGTTCATAAATTGTTGCCATGCTATATATATATTTTTGTCCGCATGTCTTGTGCTTGTAAGCTTGTTTCCCTTTGAATTAAGGTCATTTTTTCTGCCTCAGTTAGCAGATACTTGTTCTTGTGTTAAGCAGAAACTATCTTCAGTCTTTTTGCTTTTCATGTAAATGTATCTCGATTTAAGAATGTTAGATGCTAAAAACTACAGAGTAAGAAAACATTAAATGAACTGTTTTCATTTTGATCAAACCTGCTTGTGTTGCACGACCCTGTGATCAGAAATCGTTTATTAAAGCACAGTATTCGCATTACACATCATCCGTCGTACGTCTAGTTTCACACGGCTCGCGTCTCCTGGAATGAAGATGCGGTGTTAGTGAGGTTTGTAAGAAGCGAGTGCCATATATCTGTACATGCTGAGTTTCCCAGTGTTAAGCCACGTGTCGTCTCACACACTGTTCCTCTTGTTTCAGTTCACTGAGGAGTTCCCGTTAGAGTTGGAGATTGAGTTCAATGGGAGGTGAAGGGTTTGTGAAAGTGAGTAAACGCCCTCAGAATCAGGATCTCTTTTCTCTGTCTCAGTGCCAACCCAGTTAAGAGTGAAGAACACAAAATCTATGAGGTCCAGTTCATCTCTCTGTGTGTGTGTGTGTAGCCTCTGTTCAATCGTATTTCTGTCATGCGCACGTCTGATCTGTGCATTTGCATTCGAGCTCTGGTGTTCGTTAAGGGGCCGTTTGGGGTTCATTAAGGGGTCCATTTCCAGCGGATGCCCACAGGGCTCGAGCGTTCCCGAAAATAGCTGAAGGAAGTCAAATCTAATCGACTAAAAGTCAAGAAATAATTAAAGGAACCTTTTTAGACAGGGGAAAATGAATGCTCCTCGTTTAATGATTTTACATTTGTTTGGTTTTTTTTGTGAAAGTAGTGAGATTAGCTTCATATCAAGCGGAAACGAGATTTTAGAGAGCGTTGGAAAGGCATGCAGACGCTACACCTGAAGACCACAGATCTTTATTAACTCTCAGGGCATCAGTCTCCATGATGTCATGGTTTGTGGATCCTCTCGGGCTCCTGACATGTCGTCCGACACAACTTAGAAACTGCACTCGTCTGAAACTCGCCGTCAGTTCATCTGATCCGTCTGATAGCAGTGCTACAATTCATAGCAAAGCAAAAAAAAAGGCAGATTGTTTTTTATTGTCATGTTTTGACATCAAGATAGCTAGCAAACCCTATAGAGACTTTGCTCTGTTAGCTTAGCTTCGTCCAGCGTGGTGTTAATATAATCTGAATAGATCGTAGCACAGGGCGGGGCTGTTTAATCAGGGTGGGGTTATAGTGAAGGGGCGGAGCTGTTTAATTGGGGTGGGGTTATGGTGAAGGGGTGGGGCTGTTTTATCAGGGTGGGGTTATGGTGAAGGGGCGGGGCTGTTTAATTGGGGTGGGGTTATGGTGAAGGGGCGGGGCTGTTTTATCAGGGTGGGGTTATAGTGAAGGGGCGGAGCTGTTTAATTGGGGTGGGGTTATGGTGAAGGGGTGGGGCTGTTTTATCAGGGTGGGGTTATGGTGAAGGGGCGGGGCTGTTTAATTGGGGTGGGGTTATGGTGAAGGGGTGGGGCTGTTTTATCAGGGCGGGGTTATAGTGAAGGGGCGGAGCTGTTTAATTGGGGTGGGGTTATGGTGAAGGGGCGGGGCTGTTTTATCAGGGTGGGGTTATGGTGAAGGGGCGGGGCTGTTTAATTGGGGTGGGGTTATGGTGAATGGGTGGGGCTGTTTTATCAGGGTGGGGTTATGGTGAAGGGGCGGGGCTGTTTAATTGGGGTGGGGTTATGGTGAAGGGGTGGGGCTGTTTTATCAGGGTGGGGTTATAGTGAAGGGGCGGAGCTGTTTAATTGGGGTGGGGTTATGGTGAGGGGTGGGGCTGTTTTATCAGGGTGGGGTTATAGTGAAGGGGCGGGGCTGTTTAATCAGGGTGGGGTTATAGTGAAGGGGCGGAGCTGTTTAATTGGGGCAGAGTTATGGTGAAGGGGCGGGGCTGTTTAATCAGGGTGGGGTTATAGTGAAGTGGCGGAGCTGTTTAATTGGGGTGGGGTTATGGTGAAGGGGTGGGGCTGTTTAATTGGGGTGGGGTTATGGTGAAGGGGCGGGCTGTTTAATTGGGGTGGGGTTATAGTAAAGGGGTAGGCTGTTTAATTAGGGTGAGGTTTAAATGAAAGGGTGGGGTTATAGTAAGGGGGCGGGGATGTTTAATCAGGGTGGGGTTATAGTGAAGGGGCAGAGCTGTTTAATTGGGGCAGAGTTATGGTGAAGGGGCGGAGCTGTTTTATCAGGGTGGGGTTATGGTGAAGGGGCGGGGCTGTTTAATTGGGGTGGGGTTATGGTGAAGGGGCGGGGCTGTTTTATCAGGGTGGGGTTATAGTGAAGGGGCAGAGCTGTTTAATTGGGGCAGAGTTATGGTGAAGGGGCGGAGCTGTTTTATCAGGGTGGGGTTATGGTGAAGGGGCGGGGCTGTTTAATTGGGGTGGGGTTATGGTGAAGGGGCGGGGCTGTTTTATCAGGGTGGGGTTATGGTGAAGGGGCGGGGCTGTTTAATTGGGGTGGGGTTATGGTGAAGGGGTGGGGCTGTTTTATCAGGGCGGGGTTATAGTGAAGGAGCGGAGCTGTTTGATCAGGGCGGGGTTATAGTGAAGGGGCGGAGCTGTTTAATTGGGGCAGAGTTATGGTGAAGGGGCGGGGCTGTTTAATCAGGGTGGGGTTATAGTGAAGTGGCGGAGCTGTTTAATTGGGGTGGGGTTATGGTGAAGGGGTGGGGCTGTTTAATTGGGGTGGGGTTATGGTGAAGGGGCGGGCTGTTTAATT